TACCATTATTCCACTTAAATGTAATTAATGATTCCTTAATATTATCAAATAGCCAGTATTCAAATTTCTAGTAGTTTCATAAAAATCATCTTTTTTATAACAGCCTTATTAAAATATAACTTACATACCATAAAATTCCCCCTCTTACAGTGTACAGTTCAGTGGTTTTTAGTATATCACAGAGACATTTTATCACCCCAAAAAGAAACCCCATACTCATTAACAGTTATTCCCATTTCTCCTCATACCCTCCCTAACCTTCCCCCAATCCCCACCCTAGGCAACTATTTATTTCCTTTCTGTCTCCATAGATTTGCCTATTCTGGACTATTCCTTTCCTATTAAAGGAAACACAAATTTATCTTTTGTAACTGGCTTCTTTTAATTAGCATACTATTGAAAGGTTTATCCATATTGTAGTATGTATCAGTACTTCATTTTTATTGCTGAATAATATTATATGGGGATACATTATTTTGTTCATCCATTCATCTATTGATGGACATTTGAGTTGTTTTCACTTTGGGGCTATTTTGTTTTGTTTTGGTTTGGTTGGTTTTTGTTTTTGAGACAGAGTCTCACTTTGTTGTCCAGGCTAGAGTGAGTGCCATGGCATCAGCCTAGCTCACAGCAACCTCAAACTCCTGGGGTCAAGCGATCCTACTGCCTCAGCCTCCCGAGTAGCTGGGACTACAGACATGTGCCACCATGCCCGGCTAATTTTATACATATATATATATATCAGTTGGCCAATTAATTTCTTTCTATTTATAGTAGAGATGGGGTCTTGCTCTTGTTCAGGCTGGTTTTGAACTCCTGACCTTGAGCAATCCGCCCGCCTCGGCCTCCCAGAGAGCTAGGATTACAGGCGTGAGCCACCGCGCCCGGCCGACTTTGGGGCTATTTTGAATGATGCTGCCATGAATTTTGGGTGTGCATTTTTGTTTGCACATGTGTTTTCATTTTTCTTAGGTATATCCAGGAATGAAATTTCTGGGCCATTGATAATTCTGTTTAATCTTTTGACAATCTACCAGATTTTTACTACATAGCTGCATCATTTTGCAATTCCACTAGCAGTATATGAGAATTTCATTTTCTCCATATCATCATTTGTTACTTTTTTACTTTAGCCATCTCACTGGATATGAAGTGCTATCTCTTTGTGAATGATTTGCATTTCCCTTAATAACTAACGATGTTAGTCATCTTTTTATGTGTTAATTGACCATTATTTGTATATTTTCTTCTTCAGAGAACTGTTCAAATCTTTTGCTCATTTTTTAATTGGATTATCATTTTATTGTTGAGTTGTGAGGGTTCTTTACATTTTCTTTTTTAGAGAAGGGGTCTTGCTCAGTCATCCAAGCTGGAGTACAGTGGCCTAGTCATAGCCCACTGTAGCCTTGAACTTCTAGACTCACATGATCCTAGCTCACATGATGCCTCAGCCTTCCAAGTATCTGGGACTATAGGTGCAAGCTAATGTGCCCAGCTAACTATTTTATATTTTATTTTTGTAGTGACAGTGTCTTACTGTGTTGCCCAGGCTGGTCTCAAGTTTCTAGCCTCTAGCGATTTTCCCACCTCAGCCTCTGCAGTAGCTGGGATTACAAGCATGAACCAGTTCTTTGTATTTTCTGGATCCAAGTCCCTTATCAGCTGTATGTTTTGCAAATATTTTTTTCCATTCTGTCTTTTCACTTTATTATATCATTTGAAACATAAAAGTTTTGGTTTTGATGAAACCAGTTTGCTTTTCCTTTTGTTGTTATTGCTAAGAAATCATTGCCTAACTCGAGGTCATGATGATATATTCCTCTGTTTTCTTTTATGAATTTTACAGTTATAGCTCTTACACTTAGGACTATGATCGATTTTGAGTTAATTTTTGTATATGGTCTGAAGTAGGGTTCCAGCTTTACTCTTTTGCACATGGATACCCAGTTGTACCAGCCCCATTTGTTGAAATGACTGTTCTTTCCCCTTGAATTGTCTCAGGGCTCTTGTCAAAAATCAGTTGACCACAAATGTAAGAATTTATTTCTGGACTTTTAATTCTAATCCATTGATCTATATGTCTGTTCCTATGCTAGCTAGCATTGTTGTAAAATTTGAAAGCAGGAAATGTAAAACCCTAATTCTGTTTTTCTTTTTTGGGATTGTTCCATATGAATTTAGAATCAGTTTGTCATTTCTGGAAAAAAAGGCAACTAGAATTTTGGATCTGCAGATCAATTTGGGAAGTACTGTCATATTAATGATATTATGTCTTCCAAATCATGAACACAGTATTGTCTTTCTGTTTATTTAGATTTGATTTTTTTTTTTTTTTTTTTTTTTGTGATAGAGTCTCACTCTGTTGCCCAGGCTAAAGTGTTGTGGTGTTAGCCTAGCTCACAGCAACCTCAAACTCCTGGGCTCAAGCAATCCTTCTGCCTCAGCCTCCGGAGTAGCTGGGACTACAGGCATGCGCCACCATGCCCGGCTAATTTTTTCTCTATATATGTTGTCCAATTAATTTCTTTCTATTTATAGTAGAGACGGGGTCTCACTCTTGCTCAGGCTGGTTTCGAACTCCTGACCTCGAGCAATCTGCCCGCCTCGGCCTCCCAGAGTGCTAGGGTTACAGGCATGAGCCACCACGCCCAGCCGACCTTTGATCTTTTTCAGTGATGCTTTTTGTAGTTTTCAGCATATAGGTCTTACACTTCTTTGGTTAACTTTATTCCTAAGTATTTTAGTCTTGTTTGGTACTATTGTAAATGAAATCATTTACTTAATTTCATTTTAAGACTGTTCATTGCTACGGCATAAGAATACAATTGATTTTGTGTGTTGATCATTTTAACTGCAACCTTGCTGAAATCATTTATTAACCAAGAGTGTTTTGTGTGTAAGAGTTAATTTTTTAGGATTGCCTGTTATAAGATCATGTCATCTGCAAGTAGAGATAGATCTAGATGCCCTTTCTAATCTAGATGCCCTTTTTCTTTCCTTCCCTTTCCTTTCCTTTTTTCCTTTCCTTCTTTCTTGCATAAGTGTCCTGGCTAGAACCTCCAGTACAATGTTGCCTGGAAGGTGTAAGACAAGAACACTTGTTTTCTTCCTGGTTTTACAAGTAAATCTTTCAGTTTTTCACCCCTAAGTTATATTAGCCATAGGTTTTTTAGAAATACCCTTTCTCAAGTTGAAGTTTCATGAAAGGATGCTCAGGTTTGTCAAGTGCTTTTTTAGTATCTGGGCCAAATTGTCCCATTCTTGGCCAGTGGGAGCCTATTCAGCTTGTCTCCAGAGTCATTTTATCAAGACCTTAGCAACTTTGACTGCTATCAGAAAAGATGCCCAGGCCCATCTTGTACATTTTATTCCTCAGTATCATTTCTTCGCTAGTTTCTCCAAGTCCTTGTGGTTTTATTGAGAAATTATTTTAGGTACCACTCTCTGAGCTCTAGTGATTTTTATTGCTTAGATTAATATTTGTCTCTAAAAATGTTCAATTGCCAGAGCTAGGAAAATACATGTGTCATTGGTTAATGCTGTTGCTTCCAATATAGATTCGAGACTACAATTAACCTCTTTTGTCTTACATCTTCATCTCCTTTCTTCTTTAACAAGAATACTATTTCTCTATAATACAGCAATTCTACAATACAGAATATCACAAGTACTCATTTGTTTTATTCCACATTGCACAGCAACAGTTTTATAATAATACTAACACTACACCATAAACAAGAAGGCTACTGAAAAGAGTTTTCAATTTTTGCACAGTTCTTTTTGCTCTTTGAATATATCCTACCACAGACAGGCAGTCAGATTATTGTTTTTAAAGTCCTTTGAAGTAGCTCCCTTTATGTGGTTATGCCATCAACTAGATACACATGTTGCTTTGTTTCATGATAGTTTCCATTATTTAGGGATTTTTGAAATTAATCTTATAATTATGTGCTATATGTACATGGTTCCAAAATAAAATCTATAAAAGAAGGAAGGTATATTTAAGGAAGTCCAGTCTTTGTTTCTCTCCTTCTCCCTAACCCTTTTCCCTTTGTAGGAAACCATTTTTAATGATTTATCTTTCCCTTCTTTTTTAAACATATACTGAGATATTTGTTTTCCCCCTTCTTTAATAAAGATAATATATTGTGCATACTTTTTTCAACATTGCTTTTTTTTTACTTAATATAGTGGAATCATTCTATAGTAATGTGTAGACTTTTAATTCCTTTTTTCCCCCACTTAGAATAGTATTCCATTGTAAGAATGTACAATGTATTACTTACCCAGTCCCTATTGATGGCAGTTGGACTATTTCTACCTCTTTTTTTTTTTTATCATAATCAGGCAATGAATAGCCTCATTTGTGAATATGTGTTTTCAATTTCTTTTTCTAGTTTATCTTTAGGACAGATTCCTAGAAGTGGGATTGTTGTATCAAAGGTAAATTAATTTAATTTTGTTAGATGCTGCCATCTTCCCCTTTATAGGGGTTGCAGGTGGTTTTTTTTGTTGTTTTTTTAAGATAGAGTCTCACTCTGTTGCCTAGGCTAGAGTGTTATGGTGTTAGCCTCGCTCACAGCAACCTTAAACTTCTGGGCTCAAGGGATCCTTCTGCCTCAGCCTCCCGAGTAGCTGGGACTACAGGCATGTGCCACCATGCCCAGCTAATTTTTTCCATATATTTTTAGTTGGCCAGCTAATTTCTTTCTATTTTTAGTAGAGACGGGGTCTCACTCTTGTTCAGGCTGGTTTCGAACTCCTAACCTTAAGCGATCCGCCTCAGCCTCCAGAGTGCTAGGATTACAGGTGTGAGCCACCACGCCCGGCCTGGGGGTTGTAGTATTTAACATCTCTTCCAGTAACATATGAATGAGTTTTGCCAACAAAAAAGTTTTACCTTCATTTTTTTAATAAGTAAGCCAAGTGAGATGTTTGTCTTTTTTTCTTTCATTTCTGATTTTTCTGATCAATTATATATTTTATGTTTTATTTTTCAGAGTCAATACAGATTTGTATGTGAAGCTATTTTGAAAGTTTATGAAGAAGGCTTTGTTAAACCCTTAACAACATCAAATAAATAAGAAAGCAAAAGGTCTGGAATATGTGTTGGAAAACTGCTTTCCCTTCTACTCATTGTGCCATAATACTGCCCGCAGGAAATGGCATCTAACAAATAAAAAAAAAAAAAAGAAGAACTCAAAAAAACTTTGAAAACTTCAGCACTGTTGCACTTTATGTTTTAAAAACTCACTCTTTCACAATCTATAACTCAAATGTGTTTGAAGACTATTTCATGCTTTGCTCCGAACAAATAGTGAATAACTGAGTATGTTCAGGGTAATTTATGAAGTTTTGTGGTGGTGCCATACAGTCCCCTTTTGGTAGAATTGCCACAAGCACGGCTCAGAATTCTCATCATCTCTGTCATACACCTTTATCTTGAAAGCAAAAAGAAGTAAACATCAGGAGTCAGCTCTGGTCTTTTCCAGTGGTTCTTGTACTTACTATACTGATTGCCAGATTTTATTTTTGAAATTTTAGCAATATCATTCTTAATATTAGCCAATACACTGCCTATGGATGCAGCACATCTTTCCCTACACACCCCCATAGAGACCTGCTGTTCAAAAGAAGAAAGATGGAATTTGCTGTTCCCAGGAAATGCTGCACATTGTCCATTTACCAGCATCTTATAGAAAGTATAAATATGAATCTACAAATTTTCTTGGATTTAATAACTTATATTTATCATAAGGTCGGCTTATTCCAAATCATGTGATTTCACATGCTTGATGTAAAGGAATGCATGCATTGTGTCTTAACCCCTTAAGTGCCTTGAGACGTCTTTGTATGTCTAATGAAAAGGCACTCATTTGACCCCACTAGGAGGTATGTATGTATATTGTACATTCTTACATTTTTATGCATTTTGAATAAGTTCACATATAAACAGCTTCTTATAGTGAGTGTTAGGCAGTCAAAGAAGGGTAAGGAAATTCTGTTTCTTACTTAATACTGTGATTTGCCATAAGAAGCAAAGATAATTTGTCTTCTACTGAGTGCAGGCTCTGCTGCTATGGAATTGTTTAAAATCTGCACATTCCTTTACTGAGGGACAGGGGTTACAGTTTAGCAGCTCAACTTTAAAAGATGCTTTATTCAAATTTTGTATTTATTTTATTCCTAAAATTATGTCTTAACATGTACATTAATGTTAAACATATTGATACTCTGAGCTAAAGTTAGAGCAGTTGTGATTTATTCCTATCTGTAACTAAAATACTACTCTTCAGCACTCATTTCAGTTAATATCAAGCTTGATTCACACCTATCTATTAATTGAAATTCTTCAAACAAGAAATGAAACATTATTGACTTTATTTTTATTTATTTTTTTTTGCGACAGAGTCTCGCTTTGTTGCCTAGGCTAGAGTGAGTGCCGTGGCGTCAGCCTAGCTCACAGCAACCTCAAACTCCTGGGCTCAAGCAATCCTACTGCCTCAGCCTCCCAAGTAGCTGGGACTACAGGCATGTGCCACCATGCCCAGCTAATTTTTTCTATATATATTACTTGGCCAATTAATTTCTTTCTATTTATAGTAGAGACAGGGTCTTGCTCTTGCTCAGGCTGGTTTCAAACTCCTGACCTTGAGCAATCCACCCGCCTCTGCTTCCCAGAGTGCTAGGATTACAGGCATGAGCCACCGTGCCCGGCCTTGACTTTATTTTTAAATGTAAATCCCACAATGACTAAAATGAGGATTTTCTTGTCATTTTTGTGTACAATTAAATTACTCCAGTTTATATATACTAATTAAGGTATAAGCATGTTAATAAGGAGTCTTTTGATTGTCCAGAATGATTGAGGATCTGATTTCCATTAAGGATGTGTATATTTTCCTCTTTCGGTTTTGTTTTGTTTTGAAGTCTACAGAAAGAAATTTAAAATTCCCCAGGTTAAGATAAGTGAAAATTTGCTCACCTATTCAAATGTTATTTTACATAATTATTTTATATGGATTGTGGTGTAAAAAATTCATTTCCTAGTGGTTTCTGAATATTTCTGTATAGGCTTAATAAAGTTAAAGTCAAATGGTAGGTATTTTGGAATGCCATTTAATATATGGGGGGAAATGCACATGTAAAATTTTCAGTATAATCTAAATCATGTCATTTCAGATGTTCAAAATCCATAATAATACAGTTAAGGAAATTGAGGCAGGAGGATTGCTTGAGTCCAGGAATTTGAGGTTCCTGTGAGCTAGGCTGACGCCATGGCACTCTGGCCTGGGTGATAGAGCGAGACTCCGTCTCAAAAAATAAAACAAATAAATAAATATCAGGAAATTAAACTCTTAAATATTAATAATCAAGATACCAAATGATTATATTAAAATATTTTAAATCTTTTTTTAAAGAGAGAAGTAAACATAGCCTTTATGTCAAAAAGAAATTCTCTTATCTATTTCCTGATTTCACAGTCAAGAGGGTATAAGATAGTAAATTAACTAGAATCTTATTTGAACATTCCATTCTCTACCAACAGATAAATGTAATTTAGGCTGCTGTATGACATCATGATAAGTTGAAAAGTAAAAAAGTAAAATCATGTCGGGGGTCTCCGTATTAACTGTTTTGGCAGTTTTTCACCTGAATAAAATAAAATCTGTATTCTAAGTGTATGGACAGAATATGACAACCATAGACAAAAAGATTCAGTTGTGTAGACATAGACAAAGGTCATGGTTGGCATATTCTCTAATTTAGGGCTTTGTTTATACTTCTGAGGTTAACTAGTAATTTGTTGGCAGTGAGCACTGCTGCCTTTTTAAATCATTAATGCCTGTCCTTAAATGATAATACAATGTATTAGAAGTTTAGAATTACACTTGTTCATATGTGAATTTTTCATCTGGGAGCTACCCTTTGTCAGTATTTTTATGTACATAAAATATCCTTTTTTAAAGCTTCTTTATTAGGATCTTAAATTTAAATTATCCTTTACAACTTCTTAAAATGAATATGCTAATTATGCTTCCCTATTTACTGAACAGATAAGACTTTATCCATTACATATAAGAATTTTTTAATCTGTATATCAATCTAAATAGGTTTCTAGAAATAATACTAGCTTTCATATACCAAGTAGTTCTAGACTCCATATCAGTGTAATATTGTGTGATAAAATGCCAAATTTCTTATATTTAAGCCACTCTCCTGCTCTGGTAACCACCTCTTCCTCCCAACCCCACACCCCCACACACCTAAGAAAACAATGCTGACTTTTATTCTGACAAGTGGAAGTCTATAATGGTGAATCTAGAGGCTTTTGTAAATGCTAAGAAGTGTTTGTGAAAACCTTCCCTTTCTGCTTGAGGATGGTTTTTCCATGTTAAAGTGTTTTATTGAGCATCTGATTTGTGTCAACACTATGTAAATAGAATGAGGAATATTTGAAATAGACTTCATATTCACAAGAAGAATTGTGCTTGTTAAACCATTATTTCCATTCAAAATTGAGGCAGAGTAAACAGCCTAAGAAATAATTTCCTTTTATGGCCTGCCAGGAGAAAAGATGGTAGCTGACTAATCATTTTAAGAGAGCACTCATTATATTTATTATATGAAAACTGACTTTAAATGTATAAATGTATGTTAACCCATTAAGGCAGTTGCTTGATGGTTTCAAGTACTAATATATATATATATATATATATATATATATACACACACACACACACACACACACACAGATACTTCCGTGCATTTATTTATATGTGTATTTCACAAAGGCTAATGCCCACAAAAGGATTATTGTAACTACAGGGTTGTTTGTCATCTGTTGGCAGGTCTGATCTGGTCTAATCAAGTATTTGAGCAAAACTCTCCTATCTTCCATCTCCACTAGAAGTACTACAACTTGAGAGCTAAAAGGAAGTTGAAGGATATTATCCAGCCTTCACTTCCCTTATTTTTATAGGCAAAGAAACAGAGGTCCAGCAATGATAACTGATTTAGTAGTCTGGTCTTCCATGGTCTGCTTTGTAATTCTCAATCTAGTGTTCTCTGAATTATACTGGAACTTCAGTAAATTTTGACCTATGGTGAATATCATAAATTCTTGTGAATTTTAGTCTATTTCAACTAGAGAAGCATACTCAGGCAGTGTTTTCACTTAATAACTATGATGACCTTACAAGATTTCACTTAAGCTAGAAAATAAGTAGACTTCAAAAAGTGATCTTAATTATTAGGACTCCAACTCAGTTTGCTAGACCTGCTTCCCTGACAGAACATACACTTTTGTAAAGTATTTAGGCTGCTACACATGCAGTATGAAAACATTCTGGACTGCAATTAAAAGGCTAATTTTTAAAAGCACTTAAAACATAGAACTAAGATTTAGAGTATATGTCCACTTATAATAAAATAATTTATGTTCATAATGTGAACATGTAGTAGAATTAAATATAGCATTACTTGTTTTATAATCTTATCAGGAAGGGAGAAGGAAACATGAATTTATAACAACGTGCTATTTAATATCTGTATTTTGAATATTTAAAATATTCTGATGATAAGATTGCCAAAGTAGTTTTGAATTCATAAAAGTTATTTATACCACAATAATGTGGGATATGTTTACAGGCTTTTATTTTGTAGTAATTATTTTGTAGTTCAAGTGAATTTGCATTTATGTCACATATAGCAAAAACATTATGGTAAATATTTGTTGGAATAAACATCTCAGTAATATGAGAGGATATAAATTATGCCATAGCCTGCATTTATTTATGTAAGCTGCCACATCAACAAAGTTAAATACTTTGTATTAACACTGCTTACTTCCTGCATTTACTTAACGCATTCAACCACAATGCTGGAACCATTTTTTGTGGTGCTTACTCTAAGTGAAATAGCTACGTTATAAAAACCTACTGGATTTTCTCAAATATAATAATTACTGATCTGTTGACAAAGATTTGTTGGTGTCTCAGTATGATTACAATACAAGTTGTAGCAATTGTTTTATTAAATTCTTAGAGAATTCTGTAGATAAAAAGGAACTTATATAATCCTAAAACGTTTTTGAGGGCTAATTGCTAACAGATAATTCCAGCAATTTTATCAAGAGCCCAAGAAATTAATTTCTAAATTGTATGTTTGTGGTTCAACTTACTTAAGCATGTCTGCAACTATCAACGTTCTTTTATTATATAGAGACTTCATTTATTCTTAATAGCAGTTACTACAATAAGCCTCTCGATGTTATCAAATATCAACAGCAATCCCTATTTCTGCCAGAAATTAGACATCTTTTTATAATCTTGTTGAATTTTTTTGTGAGTAGACACCAAATAGTTATTTGTTTCCATATATAAATTTGCTGCTATTTATTTGTATGTTTTTCTACTGCAGTATATTATTTTTGGGGGGGGGTGGGTTTTGTTGTTGTTTTGTTGTCATCTTTA